GGGGGACTTTCTCAGCGCTCTAGCCACATAGAGTTAGAACTCGCCTACTATATCTCAATATTATGAAATATTATAAAATTTGGTTGCATTTAGGTATTTAAAAATAATTAATAAACGTTGGTTCTAGAAAAATTACATTACGCTATATCTTGGTCGAAAAACGGTTGGAGTATATACCCTTTGTAACACTTTTCGTTCTATAACTATTTGTTTTTGTATTGTTTTTTGTTCATGGCAATATTTCCTTTTTTTGTGATGTTTTTTGTTGTCTTGTATGTGACTGCAGTCCCCAAAATCTTACTGCCATTCCGCATGACGTCATACCTCCACCACCGAAGAATCCCCGCGCTATGCTTCCCCTCGCCTACGAGAATTCCCCGCACCCCGGTCTCCCCTCTAGCCCATGGCTTAGAACCGGCCTAGTATAGCTACTAATGTTATTTATTTAAAAAAAAATTATGAAAGAAAGGGAAAAAAGCAGGATCGATCGTGGGATCTTCAACATTCTGATCTCGCACCTTAAGCCGTAATCACACTAGCGATTGCCGATTGAATTGAGATTGCGATTGGCGATTGGCGATTTACAATCATTCAATCACACTGACGATTGTAGTTAGGAATTGTGGCCGCTACAATCGCTCATTCGTGTCTGAAACGAAAAATAGCATCGAAAAAATGCCAAGAAATATTAATCGATATTGGCAACTGCGGGAGCAAGAATTCTCGCAAGAATTGATTGTGATAATTATGATGCTCCTTGCAAGTAATAGTAAACATACCAACAAGAGAATTTGGATGCATCGATGGATAGCAAAAAGAAAGGAAAAAGGATTACATCATAACCTTTTCTTGGAACTCAGTCTAGAAGATCCTAATAGATTCAGGAGGTGTGTACATAAGTGTTCACATTCTTTAATGTACATTTAAAAAGAAGTATTAAAGTAATCAAATAATAATATTTATTACAGGTACTTACGTATGGACACAGTAAATTTTGAAGAACTTTTAGAAAAGGTTTCTTCTTTGAAAAGAAAATTTCCACTCATTAAAAAGAAGAATACACATTTGAGAGAAAGTATTCCACCAGCAGAAAGACTTTCTTTAACTTTGCAGCATTTGGTTACAGGTTAGATTAAATTAAATTATTGGATATATAATTGCTTTTGTTTATGCTCGTATTTTATTTTTAGGAGAAACACAGGAATCCTTGTCATTAACTTTTAGAATAGGACAAAGCACAATATCTGGTATCATAAAAGAAGTATGCCGAGCTATCATTACTGTATTGAAGGAAGAATATTTGAAAGCTCCTTCTTCTGAAATGGAGTGGCAAGAAATTGCACGAAACTTTGATGAACTATGGCAATTTGAAAATTGTATAGGTGCAATTGATGGAAAACACTGTAGAATTGACTCACCACTTAGATCAGGGTCACTTTATTATTGTTACAAGGACTTCTTCAGGATTGTTTTAATGGCAGTTGTCGATGCCTACCTACGCTTTATATACGTTGATATTGGGACAAATGGACGAATAAGTGATTCGGGAGTATGGAATAAATGTACTCTTAAGACTCATTTAGAAATCAACAGCCTCCATATTCCGGGTCCATCTCCACTATCTGGCACAAGAGAAATGCTTCCTTATGTGTTAATAGGTGATGAAGGTTTTCCTTTAACAGAGAAATTCCTTATACCGTATCCTGGTTCTCAGTGCTCTGGTAAAAAAAATCGTAGAATTTTCAGTTATAGGTAAGATACCTTTTTAAGAATTAAATGCCAAAATTCTCCTGATTATGATTTTATTGATAATGGATCAATGGTAATACTGTATACATTTCTTTAGATTGTCAAGAGCTAGACGTTGCTCAGAAAATGCCTTTGGTGTTCTTGGAGCCAGATTCCAGATATATCGAAGTGCAATGAGATATGATCCAGATGATGCTGAAAAGATAATAATGGCAACTTGCTGTCTCCATAATATGTTACGGAGTAAAGTTGTTGGCAGAGTCATGTATACACCTCCATCATTTATTGATGAAGAAGATATAATGTCAAGTGAAATCAGACCGGGTAATTTCCGGGAAGAGTCAGCAAATGGTTTAATAAACCTGAGTAATCAAAGAGGGAACAGGCACGCAAATTCTGCTATTCTTCTAAGAAATAAATGGTGCGATTATTTTAATGCCGAAGGTGCAGTACCATAGCAAGAGCGTATGGTGCGATAAAAAAGTTGTAACATTATTTATACGTTCTTTAAAAATATATTTTTTTATAGCTCGCTATCTGAAAAAATACACATGAGGATAATACACAGTATTAAATACAAGTAATAGACTATATTAATACAGAGAGAAAATTTGCAGATTTTTAGTTGATTTAAATGTAACTGTTTTATTTGAATAAATATTTATTTAATATAAGTATGTGTAAATATTTCGTTAGTACTTAGAGTAAATATTTACTTAAAATCTGCAAATTTTTTTCTCATTGTATAAATAATATCGATCTAATATAACATTTAAAAAATGCATCTATTAAACATATGCTTAAAATAATACGAAGCTTATTTTTTTAATCTAAAGTATCTAATACTTATATAAATACTGTAAAATACTGTTTATGTACTTATAGGTATACTTTAAAATAATATTTATGAACGATTTGGCAAAGTACGTTTTGTTATTTGTGTACACATATTTATTTTTTTAAGGGCCTTAGCAGAATGACTGACTTTCATAATCTTAAGATAATATTTTATGATGTAAATTTTGTTTTTTTCTTTTGCTATAGCCCTTACAATTTCTATAATATTTTATCACATCTTTCTTTATATACCTTTAAATAAAATATAAAATATTTCCAACAGTTCAACAAACTCAAACGTAACACATTCAATATTTAAATTGCAGTGATCCTTTATGCATATTAATGAAAATAATTAATAATAATTTTACACAAAAATGTGTAATCGTACGTAAATAAAAAATATTGTACTACTGTATCAAATAAAGAAACGGAATTATAAAAATGGAACAATATTGTTATCAGCATTCATTATTTTCCTCTCGCATTTTAATAGAGGGAACAGTGGTAAGAATTTTTAGAATCTCTGTTTCACAATACAAATGTCTTTCTGGTTCCATCTCTCTTAATCGAGCAGCAATTAATAAACCCAGATGTTCGCAAGCAATAATCCTAGGTGGTGATTGTTGATGCATTTGATTTTGTGACATTTTCGTATTACCTATTCTTTTTAATGCTTTTACTACTTCTTCCATAACAGTTGTCCTTTTCATTGCGCCACGCTTTACATAAACTGAATTATTAGCTTGCTTTTTATTTTCAGACATAGAAGTTGAATTTGAAGATTGTGAAGATGTAGATGTACAGCGAGAATTTTGTGAGTTTTCAGAATAAAATAATTCAGAATTTGTAACGTGAAACACACATGGCTCTTCAGATAATACAGATGTATGTGGAACTCCAATTTTTTCAATTAAAGTATTGCTACTGCTGGCAGATGCAGGTATATGTGTGAATGGCACATTTGTTTTCGCAGAGGATCGTTCAATTATATTGTCAGGAGAATATGTGAGCTTCAATACAGATGGATTTAAAACTATAGAATTGGCATCTTGATGTAAAGCCTGTGAAATAGGTGCATCAAAAATGTTGTCTGATATCAATACCCATTTCTAAAATAGAACATAACGCCTAATATTATATTTATGATGAAATGAATTATGTATAATGATACACACCCAATTAATTAAAAAAAGCATTATTTATCATTTCTTAAAAAGAAACTGCTTATTTTTTTACTTAATTCTTTAGTTATAGTTACCTGTAAATTGGAATCAAAATGTATATTATTTTTAATTAAACTTGCAAGAACATTATTATTCATTTCATCATTGATGTTAATGGTAGTAAATGTCTGACCATCATCTTTTAGACCATCAAGATTTGATGAGCTTTCTGTTTGCACACAGGCTTTCTTTAAGAATAGCAGACTTGTGTACAATGACCACTTAGGTTTATAAATCTCATCTGTACCTTTACCACTGCATCTTTGTTCTGATTCTTTTATTCTTTTTTCATTGTTCATAAATGTAGTTCTTATATTAACAAATCTGTCACGAACTATTTCAGCTAAAAAATAAAATAGTTTAGATATTTAGCTTAATATAGAGAAATATAACCTAACATAACCTTAATCTATTCCATTAAGAACAAGGAAAATGAGGTAAAGAAAATTCATAAAAATAAAATTTACAACTACGTTATATACTTATTTAAATCTTTTACTTACCTGTTATATTTGGGATCCCCGTAAGATCTGCTACCTCTTGCCAAAGGACTTCTTTTATATCATTTCTCCTGTACATTGGATCAGAAACATCCCACAACTGCGGTCTATTTTTTACCGCATCAATCAATAAAAATTCTTGATCAATAATAAATGTCTGCTTTTTTGGCGGCATTATACACATAAATATGTATTCTTGTATCAAGTGTGACACTTTAGACTACAATTTAATATTATATATTGTGTTATCGAGACACATGTGCTTTGATATCACGTGACTAAAATCACAATATTTCATTGGCTACGATTGAACGACAACTGCGATTGACGATTAGAAAATATTGTCTAAACGGCAGTCACTAATCTTAATCGGATCTCAATCAGTTACTGCTTTGCTTTGATTGGTTGAAAAGTAATCGTCAATCTCAATTCAATCGGCAATCGCTAGTGTGATTACGGCTTTACTCCCGAGACCACGCCGACTTCTTACGGATCATTTCTACAAACGCGGTATATAAAGTGCACGGAATTGTTAATTATTTTTCTCATAAACTATCGCGTTTTAACATCATATTTGCAATTATAGAATAATAAGAAGCATATAAGATTACTAAAATTTATTAAAAGTTATGCTATTTAGAATCTTTACTTCCCCTATATTTATAGATTCATGCCAAACGATAGAGATTGTTGAGAAAGCATTTTCGCGGTCGCCCGAAAACAAGCGACTAAAGCGAGACGGACGAATGCTTTGGCGCGGAGTGAGAGCGAACAAGACAGCGATAGAAAGCCCGTTTTTCTCGCTGTTTGTTTTCAAGCGCAAGAAAACTAAAAATGCCTTCTCAGCAATCTGGGCCGTTTGACGTGTATCAAGAAATAAGGGGGGAAGAGACATTGTAAATAGCATATAATTTGTAATGAATTGTAATAGTCAAATACCCCTCCCATTAATCTGTAATTGCAAAAATGATATGAAAATGCGATAGTTTATGAGAAATTAATTGTTTACGATTTTTCATGTGTGTTATCTGGAGACACTGGTAGTGTCTCGGCGCTAAGCTGCGCGAAGCGACACTGCCGTACCTCCTTTACGCGAAACGACGAGTTGCGGCAGATCGAGATTGTCGGATCTCAATAACGGCTGAACCGATCGCGTTCTATATATGCTCAATCGATA